CCAGGTCCCTCTGCAGAACCCTCCTACCCTCCAGCAGATCAACACTTGCACCCAGCTTGGTGTCATCTGCAAACTTGCTAATGATGAACTCAATCCCCTCATCCAATCATCAATAAAGATATTAAACAGGACTGGGCCCAGTCCCTGGGGTACACCACTAGTGACCAGACACCAGCTGGATGCAGCACCAATCCCCATTGCTCTCTGGGCCCAGCCACCAGCCAGTTCTTAACCCAGCAAACAGTACATCTGTCCCAGCCATGGGCTGCCATTGTCCAGGTAGACAACATCCACAGCCTTTCCTGCATCCACCTAGGTGGGTCACCTGATCATAAAAAGAAAGCAGGATGCTCAAGCACAACCTGCCCCTCCTAAATCATGCTGGTCTGATCCTCCAGCCATCCTGTAGGCGCCATGTGGTGGCACTCAAGATGATCTGTTCCATAACCTTGCCAGGCACCAAGGTAAGGCTGACAGGCCTGTAGTTTCCCAGATCCTCCTTTCAGCCCTTCTTATGGATGGGCATCACACTGGGCAGCTTCCAGTCATCTGGGGCCTCCACAGTGAGCCAGGACCAATGATAAATTATGGACAGCAGCTTGGCAAGCTCATCTGCCAGCTCCCTCATCACCCTGGGCTGGATCCCATCTGGTCCCATAGACTTATGATCCTCCAAGTGGCTCAGAAGATCACTATTTGCTTCCTCCTGGATTACAGGGGTCTATTCTGCTCCCAAAATTGTGCTGATGGGAACCAGCCCTTTAGACATTTATTGATAACCTGGGTTTTCCTGTTCCTTTGATCATCCATCCTTGCTACTTAAGGAAGTGAGCAGAATGCCACCTGTGCTCCTGTCGTATCAACCAATCGACCCAAAGCCTTGAAGCCTGTTTTAATTATCCTGGTACTTTTCTTATCAACCTCATCACTGCCAATGTGGACAACCAGCAGAGGGTAATAATCAGAAGGCTGAATTAGTTCAGAGAGCCTCCTGGTAATATCCTGTATCTGGGCCCCAGGAAGGCAGCATAAAACTATCTACTCCATAATGAGGAGATGTGTTGGAATTAAGGCTTTTACATTTATGGAATGTTGTAATATATTCTCAATTATTGATTATTAATCAATTCATTTAAAGAATGTAAGGATCAACTTCCTCCAAGAATAACTAAAACAAGGTCAATTCCAACGGTCAGTACACATCCTATTACTTCTGCAGCAGTCTTTTTGAAAATGGAGACTAGAAGGATGGAAATAATGAAGAAGAATTAAAAAAGCCTATAAGATCTGACACTATGAATTCTTAATTTCCCTTTTCTAGCTGGTTTAAGGACTCTTTCCTCATTCTTAATAGTGCATTCCCCAGAAACTAAGTAAAATCATTCCCTATTTTTTGCTTCCAAAGGGCAGAGGGAACCAAGCCAAGGTCTGTTCCTATCCTGTTCTGGCTTATAAAGAAAGTCTTCATTCTTGGTGGAGTCAACTGCTCCCAAAGGCATGTAGCAGTACCATAAATATTTCAAATACCAGCTGTATGCTGGGAAGCTCCGGGAGGCATTGGGGTCTCAGTGGAACAAGATGCCTCCCCTGGGAAGTCATGAGGTTGTATAATGCTGAGCTGTGCTTACGGGGATAACCAGGCTTCCTGTGTTGCTTATTAAAACTTAGATTACTTCTTGCTCCTTTTAAGTCTGCATTTGTGGTTTCTTATTAACCATTCCTTTAGCATATTATCAAAGTCTGATGATACAAAGTCCATTGTGTGCATTCCTTTACTTTTAATCCAGTTTCCCCAGGAATATGGCTTGCAGCTATAGCATTTGTAAGCTTTCGTGTTGCTTATCTGCCAGACCCTGGAAAATCTGTTAGCTACTTCTGCCCAAATTCAACAGGGAGCTGAAAGACTCTTCTGTATACATTTCCTACAAGTCTCATGAAAATAACTGGCCGCAAAGGTCGAGGGGATACAGACATTGCTGTCCTGGCAGCAAAGGCTGCAGTGTGAGTGCAGTCTTGGTTAGGCATAGGAGAATCCACATGGAAATTCACCCTCAGAAAAAAATAATATAAAAATAAGACTTTATTAATTCCACTGTTTATGGAACTACTTGATTTAGGTAACATATCTACATTTGAAAATCAGATGACAGGAATATCTCTGTTAATTTATGGATCATTAATAATTTTGTATACTAATGTATTCACTTGATCCTGCTCCCATCAACATCAAAGGGAACTTTCCACCAAGTTAAGAGGTAATTGGACTAGGCCCATGAATAAACATTTATAATACTAACATTAAAACATAATTATTTTGTAAAAGTCTCAAAAGCAGAAACAAAAGAAATATTTTAATCCAGTTTTAAATGCTGTGGTAGAGTTCATTTATACAAAACAACAGCATAAAAGGAAACCACAAATTCATATTTATAAAGTCATAAATGAGTGTACCATAAGTGCAAGTAATGTTCACTTCCTTCACTATTCCTGCAATTTTATTATATTTTGGAAATGAAACTTTCCATTATTCAGTAACACTCAACTTACAGAGGAGGTTTTCATTGAAGTGCAAGGTGGCCAAAGTTATTCTGCTGGATGGAAAATTAATGTATATGAGGTATGGGATTCCATGACTCCTTTTTTAAAACATCTCTATAAATTAACATGAGAATATTCAAAAGGTTTGGCTTTCACAGATTCATGGAAGTCCTACAGAGGTTTTGGTAAATGCCTCCACTGAGGAAATATTTCATATCCTCCAGTAGCCTGCTATTCCACCCAAGAGAGCATTCCTATTCTTTTGAACCTAAGTTAAAGCTCAGCTAAGAAGCCATTAACTGTCCACATTAATCCTGTATTGGAAAATCCTTCAGGGGGGATGGAAATTCCATGGCAAAGTCTTAGCAGATTTTCCGCTGTATTGTTCTTGTCGGGAGAAAGAGGGGTAGTGTTCCCACAGAATGATCAGTGGGCCCAGTCCAAGGGGCTCTCACAGGATTCATCAGGGTCTAGGAGCAGCAATCACACATAAAACTCCCATGTCTTCTGATGGCATTTTTGATCTACTTCTGCCAAAAATTGTATTATCAAGTTCTTCCTCTCTTGATGCTAAATGGCATATATAAAATTATATATATATATATATATATATGTATATTTAAAAAAAAAAAAAGAAAATTAGGTTTTGCTTAAAGTGTGAGCATTTGAAGTGTCTATTCTTAGAGAAAGTTCTCAACTGGTTGCTGATTCTACTTGAGACCAAATTAGCTGGGAGAAAAGGCTTCACATGGGAAGGTCATCCAGATGAGAAAGGAAGATGCATGCTGCTTTCCAGCTTCTTGAGAAGTTTTGAACTAGGGTTACTCAAGCATGGCACTATGCCCTCACTGTTCCCTAATATGCTGTGACTGAGGCTTTCTCCGTGCTGTAACTGGTGCTGTCTATCATGAGAAAAAGAGACACATAGAGACAATATGACGGTTGGGGTCTGGAAAACACATGAAACATCTGGGCTCAATGTTGTGCTTTAATGCAAAGTGGAAGCTTCCCCACCTAAAGAGGATCTGCCCAGAGTCATCTGTGCTGTGCTGTAGCCATACTGTTCAAGAAGGAGGATAATACAGATTCCAGTCTTCTCAGGTAGAGAAAAGCTTTCCTTAACACTTCCCCCATTCCTGGGCTGTCTGATATGAGAAAAAGCCACTAATACCACTTGGAATCTAATTTTCCATCTCCCTGACTTTCATCAGTGTGTACCTAAAAACCAAAATACTTTAGTGTCCTAAATGGCAAACTAATGACTAAAAGCTACCAAAATATTTCAGCATTGGACAATCAAAAATCAGATTTCCCCAATGTGGATGAATTGGATTCCATTCAATTTTACAGATTTTCATGTTGACAATGAGAAATAAAAATATTCAAATGGCTTTATTGTCTGTGTAATTGGTTTGACAGCTGAATAAAAAATTGCCACAAACCAAAACCCAAAAAATAAACAGAAAAAAAACACCAAAAAAACTCTTCAGAGTCTTTGCCCCCCAAGCAAGGTTCTTTGTGTAATGCAGCAGAAATGAGTGTCACCCTTCAAAGACAAACTCTTTCAGATTATGTTGAATAATTTTCTGTTTTCTGACAGAACTTCATAACAGTTGGCTTGTCAAGAATCCATGTGATCATGTAGAGAAACTTGGATAAATGTAAAGATGTTCAGCTTTCTCATCTGCCTTGCTGGGATATAAAAATTGTCACATTATCCCTTAGATTTCCAGCTAATTTTTGCTGATGGAGGTGAATGGTCACTGAGACATAGTATTATCATTGTTGCCATACCTCCTGTACTGGAAAAGATGTTATTACTACATTTGCTATTGTTTGCTTTTGTATAAAAAGAAGATACTTGAGCTAAGAGACGTCATCTGTTGAGCACATATGCTTCTATTTCCAAGAATCTGGATAATTTAATTATATTATCTGTTACAAAATGTTCTTCATAAAAAAGTGGTATTTGAACAAATTATTTTAATTAATACTGAATTTTAATGCATGTCATAAAATGCCATTTTTTCCCAGACAGAATATGCTCTTGTTGACTGATGTGATATGGGTAAGTTAGTGTAGAATTATAATTTAGTCTGTTAACTACCACTTCTGCCAAAGGCCAACATTCACTCTCTACCTATTTTTTTGTGGTATGTATTTGGTACCAGAGAATGCTGTATATAGGAACTTATCTTCAGCCTCTCTTGAGCTACTGTTCTTCCCTCATTTACTACTACATCCCTTGGCTATTGCCTCAAATTCTTTACTAAGGTTACACTTTAGGTTTACTAAGGTTACACTTTTAGTCAGTATTTTAAAAAATTCCAAAAATCTTTGGGTGAACTTTTACATAACAGAGTTAATTCAAATAAGAAATTAGCACTGTTAAATACCCAAAATACATAATTCTTTTTCTGAGTTTTTTTATAAATTCTCTTTCAATTTCACAGGACTGTGTGAACAGAGATAGCTGCAGTTCTCTGAAATCTGTACAAAATGTGTGCTTTTAAACTTGCCTATCACAAATCTCTTCATAACAGTTCACATTTATGACAAAAAATAATAAGAGAAAGAAAAAGAGGAAAAGGAGAGAAAGAAGAGGAGAAGAGAAGAGAAGAGAAGAGAAGAGAAGAGAAGAGAAGAGAAGAGAAGAGAAATCAATTGAAGCCAGGATGCTAAGACTAAGGCTGAATATTCAGAGGTGAGAAGTGTCTTGCAGATATAAAGGCAGCTTACAGATAGTTCCCCTAAATGTCCAAATGTCCTAAATGTCCAAATTTCACTGCTTTACCCATGCATATGTACCTGTACCTCAGAAAAATTTTGTTTGTATTTAGTAAGACTTTCCATGGGCCTTAGGAATTCCTTAGCGGAATTCCAGCTAAAGATGGATTTGGAGGTGCTCTCTCCAAAGGTCTCAGTACCTGACAGATGAGATTAGGGACCAGTGGTACCCCAAAGTGAGAAGGTAGCTATACTACCCAAACAGGAAAAAATTGCCAGGTACCAACTTCCCTGTCACATCTTGCTCAAATAATGCAAATGTCCAGCCCTCCTCTTCCACCACTACCAGTCTCTTCCTTCACCAGCACTGGCTCTAATTGCATTTAAAGCAACACAGAACTTAAACTAACATACAATTCTGACAGAAAATCACCATTCCAGAAGTTCAGCGTTAATTAGTGGCCTATAGAAATTACCTTTTTCTTATATTAGGTTGAGATTATATTTATTTCTAATTGCTGATTTTTCAGTTTTTGTATTTGGAATATTTTAATAGTACAGTTTTAACCCTTATATATCCTGAAGGAAAACCTATAAATATATGTAGATGTAGAAGCAGCCCTTTGACTAATATTAACATTGGCCACTTCAATGTTATTTTAAAGATACTGGTGATTTTGTTGCCGTTCTAATAGTAATAAAGAGAAGGAAGTGTTCTGTGTACATTGTAGCAGTGAAATAAACAGAAAAGTACATCTAAATGGAGTCCTAGGACTACCAAAGAACCAGTTCTCTGCCCCTCTTCACCAAACATATTGACAGTTTCTGATTTCCTTTAGGTATTATCCAGCAGTAAAAGTCACCAATAACTTGTCTCACCTGACAGAAACTGCCAGCACATGGTAGAACTTGAGCTTTCATCTCACTCATCTGAAATACATGTCAAAATAGGTGACAGGTGTTGTCTGCATTGTCCCCAGATTGTTGAAAAAGCTCATTTTGTAGCCCTAGTGCACCTTGGTATTGATTCCAATGAATGAAAGCTGTGAACAATAAAACAGGAAAGTAACTGTGAAAACAGGCAAAAATAAAATCGTATTTTGGAATGAATGGGAAGTTTTGCAAAAGACAGAGCAGCTGGTTGCTCTGATTTGAACTCCAAACAGTAATTTCAGATAATATGGCTGCAATGTGATCTAATATTTCCATATTGAGTAGTGAACACTATTCCTCAATTAATATTTTCTCCAGCAGAAGGTTTAAATAGAAAGACACACTTTGGCATTTAAAGCAATATAATCTAAAGGACAACTGTCAAGTTTAACCTTTTACATGTCACGACTGTGAAATGATTGAGACTATTGATAGACAAATGTATAACAGGGAAAAACAACTAAAAAAATTTACCTGTAATACCTTATAATATAAGAAACATTATAAATAACTAATGTCTTGTTCACATCTGAGAATTTCAAATGTCCTGATAATATTCTATGTGTTGACATTTCCTGGGTAAGTAGTCTTGTTTCCTATTTACTCTACATATGCTATCAATATTGTCATGGTTACAGTCCGGCTAAATTATTAATACATATGTACAAAAATTCTGAGAGCAGTTAGATTTAGAATGAAAGTGAGCATTCCAGATTTGTACATTCCTTCTCTGTCTACCAAAGGAATAAAAGAAAGGAGAAATCAGAATCATAGTTGAATAAAATGACATGTAATTCACATAAGTAATTATTAGGTAGAACTTTATTAAGTTAATTAGAGCATTTTTACCAGCTTCACTAGGTGTTCTGTCCTTTAGTTACGTGCATTCAGTTCTTGTTAGAGCATTAGTCTCAATGAGTTTTAGGAGTGAGACAAATTAAGATTTTTCTACTAAAAATGTGTTCATCAGTTATAGTTAAACCAAACTCTTTTTGTCACTCTTAGGCTTTAAATCTCACTTACTAAAAATTGCATTTTAGTAGCAAAAAGACAAAGCATTGAATATAAACTAAGACGTCTGTCTGAATTATTCTGGTTGACTAGAAAAAATAATTGATACATAGAGAATAATAAATGTCCAAGGAGTATTCCTTTTGATAATTTTCACTTTTCTTTGCCTATTTTGTAAATTTAAAAAAAAAATTCTCATAACAAATGTAAAATATCAAAGGTATTATGGAATAATTTGTAATATAAATACCCAGGTGGAATTGAAATACTGCATACTGCATAATTACAGTTTTTAAAGCTTCAACTAAAGAATTAAAAATACCTTATCTTTTTCATATTTTAAAAGTTTTGTCTCAGAATTGTTATATTGAGAATGAATACCCACATAACTTTAAGAATTAGAATAATCCATTTGTATAGTTTGTTTGTGTTCATTCCAAAAAGTTCTCTGTAAAACATATTATCTAAACCAAATTACATGGCTTAAGCTGAATCAAGGACCACGCTTTCTTGTATAAGTGAAAACAAACAAAAAAAAAAAAAACCAAACCAAAACAAAGCAAAGAAATAAAAACCCCACCAAAGTCTCTCCGTAATTTGAGAGATAGGAAAATGTTATTAAAAAAATAATGTGTCGGCATCTTGATCTGCTGAAAGTAATATTGGATGACCAGGAAGGCAGGTGATTCAAGATGCTTTTGCCCTGCCTTGATGCTGGGTATAAACACAGAATTGTGTAGAGAGGACATGGACTTTTTTGCATCCCATTGCCAGATGTTCTGAGTCTCTTTCATGTAAGTCAAGGGAACTGCGGATTGTCCTCTTCCTGATTGCCTATTCAAGTTCTTGAGACAGTATCAATGGTTTTAGCCTCATAAAATCTACTACAAATACTAATATGTCAACAGGACTGGAACACCACTTTAGATCTGACCACAAGATCCAGCTGAAGGCTGAGAAAACATTTCCAAAATGCACATCAGTACAGTGACAGTGCTACACTTCCCCAAGCTGGACTGTAGCTGAGACAGAGGGTGAAAAAGCTGTATGCAGCCTGTACAATAGTCACAAGTGTGATCTGCTTGCTGCTTCAAATCTAGTAATGAAAAATCACCCATAGAAGCAAATCAACAGGGCAGTAAAGAATACCTTTTTACTACTACTCTGTATGTTAAGAGTTAAGCAGACACAGCATTACAGCAAATCTTTCTCCTCACTACTAAGTATGAAAACTTTAACAGCTTCACAGCCATAAGGTAACAGGAGCCCTGTAGCAATGCTTCTGGTAGAATTCAAAGATGAGCTTGTGAGACTTGATTACCTTTTTTTAGTAAGTTTTTCCAAACTTCTAACCTAAACTCTTTGTATCTTCTTTTCTGAAGAAAAAAAGGATTTTTTTTAATAATAAAAAAGTGAAGAGAGAGGAAAAAAAACCAGACAGGCACTCAAGAGAATACATTAATTATATTAAACCTTACAAAATCTTCATAACTAAACTCACTATCATGAGTTAATGCACGCTAAAATCTACCTGCATGCTCTAGAACCTAGTTACTGTGGGGGGGCAGGTTGTAAAAGGCTGTAATCAGCTGTGGGGGCTAGACCAACTAACTAGGAAATGAGATGGGAATGGTTGCTTTAATGTGATCCCAAAAATAAGGCATTTCCTAGAAAGGGGGTCTGCTTGAGCTCAAAAGCTATGATGACCTGAACATTGAGAGAAGAACCCTTCTGATTTAAAAAGGATGGCATTGACATGGCTGTTGACATTAATCCCATATATACTAAAAGGGAAGGACTGCGAGAATTATACTGATAATGTCTTGTGGTTTTATTTTTTTATCATTAGGAAGTGATAGAATTTGAAATATCTAGGAAACTGCTAATATATTGCAAATTCCTACCAATGCTAGGATGCTATTCCCCATAACTATATCCAACCCATCTATCCCCCTGGTTTGAGAAAATTTTTCTTGTCTGCCTGTTCTCTGTGAGTCTGAACTAATCAATCCATCCTCCTTCCCGTCTTTCTTATTGCTGAGACTCCTCTTCTCCTCAGGGCTTGCTTCTTCCCACCATCATTTTTCATGTGAAATGGTAATTTGTGAGGCAGAAATGTTTTGAGAAGCAGGAAATGCTGTGTTCTCTTCCTGACTGCATCACTGCCTCTGATACCAGCAAGTCATCTTAGCTTCCTGCTTGTTTCCCATAACTCCCATCCAATTCTCTAAAGTTAAGACTCCAAGGTCGCACCTGAACAGATACGTGCTGTTCAAAGCACTGGGTGTACAGCTACGTTCATTTGCTTCTTGCAGCCAAGCCTGACCAGGAAATCTACTAAACATCTCTTCCTGCAGACTGAAAGAAAAAGTGTAGAAACTTGCACGACGTTGAGTGTCTCCTAATGTCAGATGGGTGTATTAACATTTGTTGAAGCCTACAACAAAATGCAGACTTGCAACATCTGTCAGGGTGTACTTAGCAGTTTACAATATGAATCACCATATTTCTAAGTATGTACAGGAAAAAAAATCTCCAGGGATTAGCAAATAGATGTTGCTAATATACTGCAATCAGCCATGGAAGGCCAATTCGTATCATGGCATGAATAAGAAAATATTAACAGAAAAACATCCCAGTTATTAAAAAGTGAGGCCTAAATATCCTTGGGAAAAAAACCAAACCAGTTATCTGTGGGGGTTTGCCCTAAGATGTTACAAAAACTAACATAGACTAAACAATTGTTATGAATGCTGACCTATACTACCTTGTTCTCTCACTGTAAGTATACCCCAGTAACTTTAGAGATATGGACTTTGCAAATGGTATCAAAGCTGTATGTGGATGGAAATCCAAGATATTAAAAAGCTGAGCAGATAGACTGTCTGCTAACTATCCATCAAGAGAAATAAAGAAGCTCAAACAATTTATAGAAATACACATTTACTCAGGGAAAATATCTCTGTTTTACTATCATAAGCAACATTATCTTCCTAGGATTAATGGATGAACTAGCAAAATCTGATTCCCTCAACGTACTTGGTAGATACCAGAAGACAAACTTTTTGATCTGGCATATATGAGGTTGCTGTAATCAGAACAGCTTTTCACATTGTCCTAAACATTTTTGCTAACATACATCATCATCCACAGAAACTGAGAAGGTGATTATAGACAAGAAGGGAATCGAGTCAGTAGGGATAGGTGGCTTTTATGGCCAGTTGTATTTATCAGAATCAAAGTCTAGAAAGTGCTAGAAAAAATACTGGAAATTTGGTGTGATTTCTTGGAATAAAAGCTTCTATGCAGCATCAAAAGTAGGTTAATTTGATAAGTAGGTAATAGGGCAGGTTGAGATTGTTGTAACAACCTCTGACATTTGTGAATTCCAGCCAGAATACACAATGGTGCAGAAGTTATAGAAACATTGTCAGGAAACTCACAGGGAGTTATACAGCCCTCTTGCCATAAAGCAGCATCAGCTATAATTGCCTCTCAATCAATGGCTGATGGCTTGTCTGGGTTATGGACTGCTCGTATTGTAAGTCCAGAGACTCCTGAAAGGCTCCACATGAGCCAGCTCATATGCACGAGAAGGAGAGTTCTGTTGGCAGGACACCGACACGCTGGTGTGCTCCACAACTGCCAGGTCCTCCCACCTCTGCAGTCACCACTGTCACCAGATCTCTCTTTTCCCCATTTCATTCTCAGGGAATGATCTCATAGACCATCTTGCATTCATCCTATACTTCCTGGGGTTTGAGATAGGGTTTGAGGTGTTTTGTTTCTTTCTCTTTTCAGCATTTGATTGAGCTGAAAACAAGAGGACAAGCCATTTTGCCCCTATTTGAATCAGTCATTTGAAGAGTTTCAAGCTCAGACAAGTTTTGATGAGTTTGAACTGAAGTAGAAAGTATTACAGCTGGACTCTGACTTACCAAGGTAACAGCTACCCACCAGCTTCAACCCTCCTGCTTTTCCTTCAAGAGCTCAAAACTGTGTTCAGAATAGGAAGTACCTTGACTAGAATGCTATGAACTTTCCAAGGACCTACAAAACTGGGGGATTAGCTATGACAAACCCTAGTTCACATCCAGTTCATCCCTGATCCTATTTGATTTCCTCTATTTTATACTGCAGTTATTGAAACACAACAGATTGCAGTGAAATAAACACAGTATTTTCAGATTTATATTCTAACATTTTAAATCTTATCAGTATGCAGCACTATGAAGAGGATTGTGGATGCTGATCTAATCCACCTACTTTTCTGGTGGCCAGATTTTCTGTAATAAAAATGCAAATAATCCCTAGAATGACATACCAGTTTTAAATACTTCTACTTTTCTTCTGTAAACTGACAGCAAATTGTCTTTCCTTGCTAAGTATGCTTATTTGTTAAGAATTATTTTTTTATTCTAAAGAAGCTAAATCCAACATGACCTTGAGAGTGATCAATTTAAATACAACACTGCCTTTCTAGATATAGTAGTTATTTCTCCCAATATGTTTCTGGTACATATCCTTAAATAGATATTGATTCCCTAGTTCCTTAACTTTGCAATTTTAAAGTTATATATTCTAGCTCGTTAAGGTCTGAAAAAATCCTTGGGTTGAATTCACAGTTTCAGTGACTTAAGTGCAATGTGAAGAACTACACGTGTAAATGGCCAATTCCATTCATTTACAGCGTATTTATTTACAATTTATATTAATATATAGCTTCTAAATTTGAGAAAAAATATTTACAAGTAAATTAGTTATGCAATTGTATTTTAGAATTGCTTATGCAGTTGCTCTGAGGCCATTAAAAAAAGCAGATACTTTTACTTCTATGTTCCACATGAGGAATCAAAGATGTATTAAGAAAAAGCTGCATACCTGCTTGTTAGGTATTCCAGACTTAAATTTTGAACTACTGAGCTGTCCCAAGCTAAGGATTCAACTGAGAGGAAAAACTTGCAGGGCTAAAAAACACCCCAGAGACTTCCTGATGGGATATTTATTCGTTATGAAATGGTTCAAAACAATTCATACACAGATTGTTTGTATTAAAATGAACTCTTCTATTCACTTTCTCAATTTCCCACCATTTTCCATTTAGAGGTTCTGAAACACCTTGCAGCTACTAATGTAATAAGCCCATGATATTTCTGTGAAGATAAGAGAAATTATTCTCATGAGGTTTGGACTGATTCAGCACTGCTTGTATTAGTGGCAGGTTTCATCTTGATCTTTTTCTTCTCTGGTAGTAGAGATTGCTCATGTGTATAACCTGTTTACGAAAGAGTTTATGTCAAGAGGCTGCTACAAAAGAGACATAAATGATCTTAACAAACTAAAGAATGAAAAAAGAAATTTAATGTGCAACAAAGACAAAATGAGGTACAGAATAGAAACAAAACATTTGTGTAGGAAAGAAATACAACTTTGGTATTAAAAACACCAATGTTCCCAAATTCAGAAATATATAGGGATTTACCAGCATATATCAGCACAATGGAAACAGCCTTTTGAATTGAAATGAGAACATTTTGATATTTTATTTGGTGTTGGGGAGAGGGGATTTTTTTATTTTTGGTAGTATAAATGTCTTCAACCATGTAATAAAATGAAATCATTTCAGTTATCACTATTGAAAATTTCAGACTTACAGGAAATTTACACTGAACATGTATTTTTCACACGGGGAGATTTACCAGAAGGAAGAATACTGAGTACAGAACTGAGGAATCAGTGAAAGGGATGGTAGTTTTCTCATATCACTGTGTGGATTCACAAAAGCTCTGCATTCCATGATGACCAAGAAAGCTATACAGTTCCACTCAATTACTGCTGCAGCTTCATCCAACCTAGATGTGGCTTCAATACAACACTAACATTACAGGAGAACAAGCCCAGGAAATTTCAGCTGCTACAGCCTGTATATCAGAATGCTTTTCTTCCTCCCACAGTTGCTTTCAGCAGTATTTACTAACCTATTTCTAGGGGAAATAAGGAGCTGGGTTTCACTTCAGTACCCTTAATAAATCAAGAAGCAGGTAGGAGAAGGGATAAGCGAATTTCCTATCTTCCAGATGGATCCACTGCTTCTTGCTGGGGGAAACAGGGATATTCACTTTCCCTGTAAAGTCATCAGGTATCAGATTTGCTGATTTCCAAGGAGTACCTTATTGTCCCTGTGGACTCTTCTCATGTTTGGCGCAAGAGAATTCTCTACCTTTCCTGTAGAATCTGTGTCATTGTGCAATGAAGTATTTTGGTTCCTGGGGGCCAGAAGAGGGAAACAAGCATAAGCATGAACAATTTGTGACTTGGATCTAAAGGGCAAGACCTAAGGAGACAAGAAGCCTGGATTTTGGTCCTTGTTCCATACATATCTCTGTATTTCCCTCTCTTACATGCAGCTATCAGGATAAACCATGCATGAATCAGGGTACTAATCACGTTCACAGCTCAAAAGTTTGCTCTCTTTTTCTCAGGGCCCTACAACATTCTTATCTAAGCTGTCCATAGCTTTCCTCTTCATCTGTTTTTGTACTGCTTCTAGAGCTTCTTTGTTCATTCCCACACAAGCAAACAGGCACAGTAGGTCCAGTGAATTCTTTGTGTGTTGAATATACTGTACATCAGTACAGTACATGATGGGTAGGTCTGGCATGTCTGGGAAATATTGAACTGCCTGAGCATGCAATCCAACATGTCTGGGATTTCCATGCTGGCTATGTACATAAGTCCTGGAAAAATACCTACGTATTTTTCATAGACCAGTTCATTTTTTAACATGAGGGGATTAATACATTATAATCAGTTCACTTTTCATCTTTTGATAAACTAAGCCTATTAAATTCAAGCCTCTGACCATGTATTGTATGGTGCAGCATCCTCCCTAGCACTAAAATCACTGTTGTGATTCCTTTCTGCACAATCTCAGGTTTGTGAACAGTGTTTTAAAAATACAGTTGCAGGAACTGCATGCCTCGTTCAAAAAGCAATCTCAGCGATGCTATACATGGAAGGCAAAACCCCTTCATGCGCCTCGTCAGTAAAATACATGACCAAAAGGCAGTGTTTCCAGTCTGTAGGAAACAGTAGGTTTTTACAAACTACTCTCAATCAAATCACAGCGGTTTTTGGGTGGAATTTTCTGGTGAATCAAAAGTACTCTGACCCCTGCAGGTGCTTCGGCAAACTGACACGAGAGGGCTGATGACGAGGGGAGGAAGAATTTGCATGTTTGAGGAAACGGCACAAAACTTCTTACTTGGTATGGTGCTTCACCAGGGACTATCGTTCATTGGCATAACATTCAGAGTTTGAAGCCTTGTCTAATATGACCTTCAGGGTGCTTTCCTGACCTACTGCTTTCCAGAATGCAGAAACACAATGTTTTTGGTTGTCCTCAAATGTATACACTGGGTTTGTTTATACCAAAACATTTAGCAAGACCAGCTTGTAATTTACTTTCTAAATCTCTTTAAAAACATATCACAGTATTTCTTCAGATACTCTTGTCCAGTAAATCACTGTTTGTTAATTTGTTGTTGAGATATGTCAGCTGAATGGCCCTAATCTGTTTAATGTATGCTGTATCAAGTGTTTTATTGCAATAATGGGGTTTCACTGAGAAACCGACCAATGTCTTGCAAACTACTGAGACTAATAAAAACATTGTAGCTCTTGAAAAATATCTCCTACAATTTAGTTTAAGTTCTGAATGGATCACAATACAACCTGATATTCTGCTACAATAAAACCATTATTAGTTTTTAAAATAGACAAATCTGGAAAATGCTTTCTTTTAGACAAATATGGAAATGCTTTAGTTTTCAACATCATGTTACATGGTTGCACTGTTTCCATTACCAATGGGCCAGTTCTAGCAATAGGGAATCTTTGCTATAGTAGGTATTTAGGATGGAGTCAACAATGGTGAATTACAGTGCTTTTAAAACTCACCTAAAAGGTATACTAGTGCTGAGAAAGCTTTACACTACAGTGCCGTCTCTTCCTGGTGGCAACTCTGTATTGCCAGTTGGAGCTTTGCTCTTCCATAGCAACTCCTCGCCTGACATGAGAACTGGCTGTGCCAGAGGGAGCGTGTGTGTGGGACTAGAGAAACTGCAGGAACCATGTCTTGGCCTCTCTGTAATAATCTCTGTTAAGGTTCCAGACCCTCCTTCCCAAACTGCTGGCACCGGTACACGGAATCCAAGCCTTCCCAGGCTCAGCACCCTGCAGATGACAAAATCCACTTGCGGAGCCAATGGCTTCATACTCTAAATGACCCCAGCTCCGGGCATTCCTGACCGCGTGACCCATCGTTCCCAAAGCTGCCATCGCACCTTGGGCTAGGGAGGACACGGCAGCGGCAGGTCCCGCTCTGAAATTGTACCGAGGGTCTGCCCTGTGCGGCCAACTACCTCCTGTTTCCTGCCGTCTCCTCCGCCCGGTCGCTGCCGCCCGCAGACAGGGCATCATTTTGACCTCCGGCAACACCGTTCCTCTCGGTTTCCCTCCCGCCGCCCCCTCGCCCCGGCTCGGGGCAGGCACCTCCGGCCAGCCGCACTCCCCCGGAGCGAGCGCCGCTCCGAGCGCTGCCGCCTGCCGGCCTTGCAGGGCCACGCCGCCGCCACAGCGCCGCCGCACCTCCCGCCGCCGCTCCGGGCCGTCCTTGGCCCGCGCAGCCCCAGCGGACCGGGCGGCGGCAGGGCCGCGGCTGCCCGGCCGGCTCTGGGCGGTGACGGCAGCCGCTCGGTAGGGAAGACCGGCCGGTAGCCGCGGGCGCCTTTTGCCCGTGTGCCGCCGAAGAGTACCAGGCGGCCCGGGGTCGGCTTTTGGTGCCGAGAGCGGCGGGCGAGCGGCGGCACCGCCGCTTGTTTATGAGCGCGCAGAGGGGCGGCCCGGGATAGCGCTGCGCCGCCACCACAGCGGGACAGCCCCTCCCGCCCCCGCGGAGCGGGTCCGCCACGGCTCTCCCGCACCCGCGGGGCACCTGGGCGCGCCCGGGAGCTCGGCTGCGGGAACGGAACGGGGCGGGGCGGGGCGCGGAGGGACCGGCTCTTCTCTCCCGTGGCGCTGGGGCTGAGAGGGCGCGGAGCCGCTCCCCGTCCCGGATCCCCGCGCCCCTCGAGGGAGCAGGCAGAGGAAGAGGAGGAGGCTCTCGCCGCCACGGCCGGGGACGGCGAGGCCCCATTTACGGCTCCCCGCAGCATCGCCCTGCTGGGGCTGCGCCCTTTGCGGGGCCCTCTCCCTCCCCGACCCCGGTGTCCCCCGGGCCGCCGCCAGCCCGTCCCCGCGGTCTGGCGCCGCCGCCCCGCTCCTCTCCGCGCCCAGAGCCCCGGGAGGGGGGGGAGGGGAGGTGCGGGGGGAGGCGGAGGCGGCGGCCGCTGTGGGGCCCAGGCTGCTCCTCGCCTCCGCTGCGCCTCTTCCAGCCCCAGGATCTGGGGCTGGGGGGGCGCGGGAGGAAAGGGGGCGGGCCAGCCCCGGCAGTGCCCAATGAGAGAGGCGCGGACGGGCACTTGGGGCGGTGCGGAGGCGATCATCGCCCAATGGGGGCAGGGCAGAGGGCGCACTTGGAGCGGGGCGAGAGTGAGGCAGGAGGCGAGTTGGGGCTCGGGACGCGAGGGGGACAGAGCCAGCCGCCGCTGTCGCCGCCGCGCGCGCAGCCGCTCGCACGCACGGCGCCGCGGAACCGGGGACCGGCGGGCGAGGGACGAACGGGCTGAGGGACGCCGCTTCCCGGAGGGGGCAGCGGGCGGAGCCGCCACCCGGAGGAGAAGTTTGGCTGAAGCCGCCGCCGCCGCCGAGAGAGGAAACTTTCCTCGGGGGGCCGGAGGCGGGGGCGGCGGGAAGGAGCCGCGGCACGCTCGGGTCCGCCGCCCGGCGAGGGGGCTTCCGAGAGGCTCCCCCCGGCCCAGGCCGGGCTGCGGCGGCTGGGATGTACCTGGCAGCGGTCGCGGCGGGGAGGAGACGCCCGGGCGGAGACGGCGGCTGGCACCTGGCGGCCGCGGGGTGGCTGTTCCTGCTGGCCCTGCTGCTGGGCGAGTCGGGGACGCGTGCTCTCGTCTGCTTACCCTGCGACGAATCCAAATGCGAAGAACCGAAGAGCTGCCCCGGTAGCATCGTGCTGGGGATCTGCGGTTGCTGTTTCATGTGCGCTCGGCAGCGGAACGAGAGCTGCGGGGGAGTCTATGGGCTGCACGGAGCTTGCGACCGGGGCTTGCGCTGTGTCATCCGACCGCCGCTCAACGGAGACTCCATCACCGAGTACGAAGTGGGCGTCTGCGAAGGTGAGAGGCGGCGGGACACCCTCCATCCCTCCATCCGTCCCCCGAGGTGGGGGTACCCGATGGGCGGCGGGAAAGGAAGGAGGGCGCACCTAAGACCTGTTAGGCGCTGGTGCGCCTTCCTTCCCTTCCAGCCCGCCCGTCCCATCCGCGAGCGTGTCTTCTAACCTTCCCTGCTTAAAAAACCCCACAGGCTCCTGCTTAGAAGTTTTACCCTTAATTTTCTTACCCTAAACTTTAGGGTTCTACTAATTCTCCGCAGCATGTCACTGGGTTGCTGATAGCTTGTATAGCTTGATAGCTACTGATGCCCAGCTAAAATTCCTTGATAAAGGACTCGGGAAGAGTTTGGCAGATGGAGGTCAGTCGTGCACACATGATGCCTATTCCGGATTCCCTCCTGTGTAAAGAAACAAGGAAGACTGATCATCTGTTATAAAGTTTTGTTTCCTGTTCCTGTCACTTAATATCTCTCTGCCTGTCCGGCTCGGCGTATAATGATAAGGGGTGTCTCTTTCCCTGCTGGAGCATCAAGGGGGGAAATACCCACGGTAGAACTCCTCTCAAAGTCTCTTCAGCTTCCTTGCCGTCTTATGAGGTGATGAATTTGTATGAAATGCAAAGAGACTTCCCCCCCCCCCCCCTTCAGTTTTTTTATCTATCAGAATTCCTAAGCTTTATTTTTTTTATATGTTATACATTAATGGAAGGCCAGAGACAAATTTTTAGTCTCTTTCTCTTGTACCTCCAATTGCCTTTTCCCCCAAGTTGAGGGAAAACATGGCGCTGTAAAGAGATTACAAATAAACCGTAGTTTGGGATATGTGTAAATATATATGTGATTCGGAGCGGGAGCTTCGACAATTCTGGAAAAGGAGACGGAGGCGGTCCCCTCTCGGCGGGTAGAGGGCAGTAGAAAGTCCAGAGAGCTCGTGAGCATCTGTCCAAAAAACTTGCATTTAAAATGATGCACTATTTTAAGAAAGCTAAACCCGGTCATTTTTAGTGGGCAGCTGACCTTTGTCCTGGCGCTCATTATTAGTTTAAAACTCTATTTGCCTCCATAACAAATAAATTGCAAACCACAGCAGAGCAGAGCAGCACGTCCTGCCTGTGCCACGACCAATGCTGTCAGCCTCACAAGCTGATGCTTGGGTGGGATGAGCTCTGGATTAAAAGCTTGATTGTTAAATATTTTTAAATGGCCCTGAACTATTCTGAAGACCTTGGCTGAGAATGTGTTGCTGAATATGTACGTTGCTGTAGTGTCTTATTTTTAATATGCATTGGAAAAGTTTTTGTAAATAGAAAAGTACAAGTCCGAGCAAAGGTACTTTGAAAACTTACCTGGTTTTGCAGGAGTTTCTCGTGTTGTGTGTTTTTGAGTAAAAGCTGAGCTAAAATAACTTCCCTCTTCTCGATGGTTAAAGGAACTAAGAGCCTACAGTCATTAAAAGCCTTAATGCTCCAATTTCCTTACTGTATCACAGTATGGACATCTCTGGCAGTTTAGGAGTATTTCATTCCTTTCAAGTGATGCAATCTGTACGTTGCTGTAGTTCAACTCATAACACGTCCCATCTACTGTTGAAAATAGTATGAAGCATTTGTTGGCAAGATTGTGTTTCAATTAGTGTTGTGGTTAGAAACTAGTTCCAGCTGTCCCTATAGGAATAGTCCTAGGGGAGGGAGATAATGATCTATTAACTATAACTAAGGGAGATAACTTTCCTATTTAATTTTCTTATTCTAACTTATCTATTTAATTTTCATTCTCATAAATGAAAAGGAACTGAGCTGAACTGTCAGCCTAATAAATAATCCTGGAATACCTATTGGTGAATTGTCAGGAAACTGCCTCATTCTGAGGAACAGAGGTAATATGTTGTTCTTCATGGTGCATGTTTTGCACATGAGGTGGCAGCAAGGATAAAAGGGTACTGATTGTACTGCCTCTGATCATGAATATGAGGTTGAATAGCTCTGGTTTTTTGATTGTGATGACCTAAACAGTCGCTCAGTTTACAGGCACACATGCAACAGGCTAGGCTGGTGATGCCTGATGTGAGTAGTATTAAGCCATGCCTTTATCCACTAACAGAATAAAGGCTGCGCTTTTTTTGTTATCTTGCATGTTAGGAGTGCAAACCCTTTCATTCCCCAGCCCTAGGAGGAGGAAATGGAAGTGTCTTAAAGAACTGTGTGAATAGAAATTCATGTTTTTACTCTCCTTCCTGTCTCTAGTCTTTTCTTTCATTGCAATTTTTTACACTGAAATGACCCCTACTGGCTACAGTTATAAGCATGTTTTTTTGTATCATTTTTGAAGCTTCAACCCTGTCTAATTTCAGACTATCGGCATATGCTAGGCTGCAAAAGACTCTGAGAGCTGGAATAGCAACAGGTAGAAATACTTGTCTGCTAACTTGTTTTTAGTATTTAACGTACTTGACATAAATGAGTTCTGTAACACCTGATAGAGAAGTAGAAGTCTCTGTGGCATCTGTTACTGGTAGCTTCTCTTTCTGAAATTACAGACAGACTATTCTTTGTTAAAGCACTGTTTGTAAATGAAATCTCTTGCTGATCCTGAGTGTTTTTTTCCTTTATCATTCTAAAAACTGATGGAAGTTCTCATTCATCTCACCACCTTAACTATTCACATCTCTAAGCAGTTCTAATGCTCCATTTGTGTTGTTATTCTGAAGTGAGTAAATGCCTTTCCTGAATACAGCTTTATTCTTAGTAAGTAATAATTCTGAAGTCCTAGTGCTGGTAGCTGTGCCTCCTAAATGGCATTCTTGAGAGCCTTTGCACACCTCCAGCCTCTGTTGACTTTACAACATCCTTTACAGGGATTTGCTGGATTGGCTCTATGAGGTGTTGAGAGCCTACACCCCCTTCCAAAGTCTCTTAAGGTTGAGAAATTTTAAATACAATTTTAAATACAAAGCAGGAACTGTCCTTAGTCTCTGCCTTTAAAGATAGTCCTAGAGCCACCACTGAATTAGACTTAAAAATTAGCCAAAGCACCTTAGCTTTGGCTTCTGCAGCTGGGCAGGTCTCTGGCTTTCTAGGGGATCAGAGAGCCTTAAAAAAGCTCTGCTAAAGAAGTTAGGTTAGTCTGTAAAGGTGTTTCTTGAGATGACTCTCTTGTGTGCGTTTCCCTGCTTCCCCAGTTTCTGGTGCTATTAGATGAAAAGGCCTAGATTGCTTTGCTAAACTGGTCAAAGTCATGACAGTAGCAAATAATATAACACTGAAAATGGCTGGAAATTATTTTTAACTGTGTAACAGAAATGTAAGGGGTTTTTTTTTGATACATTTGAAATGCATACTTAACAAAACTGCGAGTCTGAAGATGTTCTTTGTTTCTCTTTAGAATATACTTCCATATGAATTAGCCTCTGGGTAGACATTGAAAGAAGGTATCACTGTGCCACTAGCTTGCCAATAATATCTGTTACATTGTTTGGTTTTGGTTTGTTGGTTTGGTTTTAGTGGGGTTTGGGTGTGTTTTTTGTTTTAGTTGTTAGTTGGGTCTTTTTTGTCTTTTTTTGTCTTTTTTTTTTTTTTTTTTTTTTTTTTTTTTTTTTTTTTTTTTTTTTTGGGGGGAATTTTTTTTTTTTTTTTTTTTTTTTTTTTTTTTTTTTTGGTGAGGGGATACAGTTATTAATATATTCTTTCTGCTTACTGCCTAGTGCATAACTTCTGAAGTTCCCTTGGGAGCAGGAGAATGTTGCTGTAGCAAATTTTAGGCAAGTACTGGAAAGGATGAGTGTTAATCTCCTAGGATGATGGCAGAAGTTTTCCTTACTGTGGCTACTCCTAGAACTGCATCTTTTTGAGAGTTTGAAGCATTACAGTCTGTCTGACTGTAATTGCCCTTGCTGGGGCAAGTTGAGAGAACTTGGATGTGTCCATTGTCTTCTGCCCACACATAAGTCTGCCTAGTTTTCCTCCCTGAGAAATATATTAAGGGCACAGTGTGTGGTATGCAACTGAAGCTTAGAGAGAAACTGGAGCTGATGAGAAGAATTTAAACCTTGAAAGCCTAGTTTTTTTCTTTTCAAAATTCAGAAGAGAAAATCTGAGCTTGTTTTTTCGTTTGTTTTGTTCAGACATTGGTTTACAGGTGTGCTAATGCAGTTCTTCCCTGCTTTACTGAAGTAACAACAACTTGCCTCCAGACTTGATATTATTTGTTATCATTAGTAACTTTGGCAGCTAGTACCCTTTGGAGAGCCTTGTTTCCA